TAAAGCCTAAAGCCTAAACCCTAAGCAGCTCTCAAAGACGGCATCGAGGGATTCCATCTCTGGGCTTCAGTGCCGTGAGCGAGAACCCGGAGCCTGCATTTCCACAGAGGTCTGACTGCTTAGTTTGGTGTTGCCATCCAGTGATTCTAGTCCCTAGATAGGCATAGAGTAGAAATGAGGGTTTAGGGTTTAGGCTTTANNGGTTTAGGATAGGGTATACTTTCATAAGCCCCAAGCCCCATTTTCTAGTCATCAAGTTCCTTAAATTACGTGGCCCATTGTGGGACGTAGTGAAGTGTTGGGCTCCCACCGTCATATTATGCTTAACGAGACATGTAAGGGCATCGCAATAAGGAAGCCACCAAAACGTAGGGTCTTTTTTTCTTTTTTCCAGGTTTGGGCCGAAGACCCCCTAAACCCTAAACCACGGTTTAGGGTTTAGGGTTTAGGGTTTAGGGTTTAGGGTTTAGGGTTTAGGGTTTAGGGTACCCTAAACCCCCTAGACCCTGAGCCCCCACCACTCTTCCCGAAGCCTGAAGCCGAGCCTGTAATTCGCCCAGGAGCCGAAGGGAGGAAAATCTGTAACTTGGCCCAACGTTTAGGGTTTAGGGTTTAGGGTTTAGGGTTTAGGATTTAGGGTTTAGGGTTTAGGGTTTAGGGTTTAGGGTTTAGGGTTCACGTTGTTTCTGGCTGATTCTGTTTCGGCTGATTCTGTTTCTGACGGGCATGAAAGGCAGAGGGATGGCTGAGGACTTAGGGTTGAGGATTTTTCAGCGCAAAGATTTCAGAATTAAGGAATATTCCTTACATTATATAAGGTGTCCCATAATTTTTCTGAAGGACTTTAAGGTATACTCCCTGATTTAGGGGATATTGGAAGAACTTGCTTTCGTTTTCCAGGTTTGTGTTGATGCTTCAAGTCCAAGGTGGCGGCTCTAAACCTTAAGCCCTCGGGTTGAGGGTTGACGGTTTAAGGGGGATCCCATGGCTCCTTTAGCAATCTCGATTAGTCGTTCTAGCCGCTCTGGCCCTGTAAACTGAAATCTATGCGGAGAAACTTGGAGGACCCTGGAACGCTCGAAGGTTTCGCATAGCAGTTTGCAGAGTTTAGGGTTTATGGGGTTTAGGGTTTGGGGTTTATGCGGTTCTTGCTACTCTAAGCCAAAGCAGTCTCCTTGTTGTGGTCTGAAGTGGGTCCTCTAACACGAACCCTGTTGGGTCATGTGGGAACGTATGGGTTTGGGATGTGAGGTTTCGATTGTATGATGCGGGTTGTGGGGCTCAAGATTCAGGTTGAAGGATTTAATGCAGCAAAAACCCTAAATTCCCAAGGCCCGAAGCTTTGAGTTCAGTTGAACTCCAGAAGCACTAGCAATAAAGTAATAATGATAATCATAATAGTAATAGTAATAGTAAGAACAAGAGTAATACTAGTAGTAGTACGAAAAAGACTAATAACAATAGTATGATCCTCTTCAGGACCGCTATGCCTCGAAAGGCAGCGAGTGGGAGCCTTGGTGCGTGGCGGGCAATGCGGATTGCCGCAGGTGGTTCTTCGCGGTTTCGCGTGTGTACATACGGTCGGTATGTAGGTAGGTAGGTAGGTAGGTAGGTAGGTAGGTAGGTAGGTAGGTAGGTTGATTGGTAGGTATGCATGTATGTATGTAGGTATGTATGTATGTATGTATGTATGTATGTAGGTAGGTAGGTATGTATGTATGTACTTACTTAGTTGCGGTTTGATCGCTGGACGATTGGTCAGTGGATGGATGGACGGATGGATGGATGGATGGATGGATGTGTGGATGTGCGAGAGAGAGAGAGAGAGAGAGTGTGTGTGCGTATGCATTAAGCATGTACGACATGCATCTGTTCTGTAGTTACGTTACATCTTCAAAGTTTCTGTGTCTCGCTATTTCTTCTCAAGGGTTTCGTTTTGGCAAGATTCTGATTGGTTTTCAGGCTTGTCGCTTGTGCCCCCGAAGCCCGAAACCTTACACTTCAAACCCGAAACTCGGATGGATTGAACTTCCAATTTCGCCGGCTCTCTGCCGCCGAAGAAGTCGAAGAGGGAGGGAATTCGACGGTTACTTGCGATCTGGACCTAGGCGCTGCTAGAAAGAGCAAGTGCATGACTAAGATAAGGGTTCTTGTGTTAGAAGGGCTCTGTAAGGGTTCTTTGTGGCTTCCCCAAATGCTCTTTACAGAAAGCAAAGAAAGAGAGAGAAACAGCGAGAGAGAACCAATCAATACGTGTAGATTGTTGTAACCAGAAAACCGAAAAGTCAAGCTCTATAGCATGGATGAAGATAGGTACACAGATATATAGATAGCTAGCTAGATAGGTAGGTGGTTAGATGGATACAGAGATGGATGGATAGAATAATGAATCAAACGCCGATCTTTCCTGTTTATCTGTCCTGCCTATCTGTCTATCTATCTGTCTGTCTATCTGCCTGTCTACCTACGTACCTACCTATCTCTCTCTCACTCCTGCTCTCTCTCCCTCTCTCTTTGTCTATCTATCTATCTATCTATCTATCTGTCTATATATCTATCCATCTATCCATCTATCCATCTATCCATCTATCCATCTATCCATCTATCCGTCTATCCATCTATCCATCTATCCATCCATCCATCCAGCTATCTATCTATCTGTCCGTCTATCTAACACCGAGGCGGCCTTCAGGGAAGGGAGCCAGCGCCCAAGAACGGCTTAGCCTTTCTTGCTTGTGGCTTTGCCAAGAGCGTTTCTGGGGAATTCAAACCCTAAACCCTAAACCCTAAACCCTAAACCTGGGGAATTCAGACCCTAAACCCTAAACCCTAAGCCCTATAAACCCTAAACCCTAAACCTGGGGGTTTGGGCTCTTGTTGCTTAGAGTCTCGGTGTAGGGCTTGGGCTAGAGCCATCCTCTGGTCAGTCATAGAGAACGCAGAGTTTGGAGAGTTCCGGGCTTTTGACGGGGGAAGTTGGGTTTCTGGATTTGCAGTAGAGTGCAGTGTGTGAATACTGGTGTTTGGTCGCACATAGCCGGCCGACGTCTGCTCACCGACGCCCGAATAGGCGTTGAGGGATCAATGGCTTAACTATTCAAGGCTTTGGGTTTTGACTGAAAACTCAGCAGAGCTGTAATGCCTAGGTGTTTGATGTTCACTAAACCCTAAACCCTAAACCCTGAACCCTAAACCCTAAACCCTAAACCCTAAACCCTAAACCCTGAACCCTGAACCCTGAAGCCTAAACAGGGGGCAGCAGGCAGAGCACTTGCAAAGATCTTTGAAGAGCCGACTCGCCTTGGCATAGGATCTTGGGCTTTGGGAGCCTCATTCCTCAGATAAGCCCAAAACAACCTGTGCGACCCCTGCAAACCCCACAAAGCCCTTGTAAAGACGCTACTAAACACTAAGTTTGTTTTATCCTATCCTTTCTGAGATCCTAAATCCAAAACCCCTAACCCAAAGACCCTAAACCCCTAAACCTTAACCCCAACCCCCAAACCCCAAAGCCTAAACCCTAAACCCTAAACCCAAAGACTCAAAAACCCAAAGCCCCAAAGGCCCAAAGACCCAGAGGCCCAAAGACCGAAAGGCCCTGAGCTCTAGGACAAGGGCAAAGGCCCGGGGAAGTCGGCGCCCGTCAGCCCCCCGAAGAAGATCGACATCGACCCCAACGAAGGTGAACCGAGCTAGGGTTTGGGTTTAGAGTTTGGGGTTTAGGGTTTAGAGCTCCTTGCTGTTCTTTGAATGGGTGGTTCTCTAAATTAGGGTCCCTTTGCAAGGTCCTTAAGGGGATCTAGAAGGGATGCGATCAGGCTTTCTTTAAGGGTACTTTGGGTAGTTGTCTGATTAGAGTCCTTTTCCCCAACAGAGTACGGCACCAATATAAAAGGCCTTTATTTAGAGAACCACCCAAATGCTTAATTGAACATGTAGCACTGTATGGCCATGGTGAGGATGGTGATGCTTGTTGTTAGTAGTATCACTGTTCTTGCTATCGTTTTGTTGTCTGTTGTGTCTCAACAGGTTGTCGGTATTGTCGGTACTGGTATGACTTGCTCCTCTTTGACGCTTTGGGTGGTTTGCTCATAGTTCTGTTGGCTTTGGTGAGGTATGCAGGTTCTGTGATGTAACACCCTCGTGAACACCTCCCTAAACCCTAAACCCTAAACCCTAAACCCTAAACCCTAAACCCAAGCTTTTTCTTGGTTTCTTTCAGCAGCGCTTAGGGACTCGAGGTTGGAGGGTTTAGGGGTTCAAGGTTTAGAGTTCAGGGATCGTGGGTTGCGGGTTTTGGCGGTCGAGGAGCAAGGGGGAAGACGAATGGATATGGAGCTTCTCTTGGAGAAGTTTGGTTTCTAGTTTTGTAGGAGTATGTTTTCTTTGGCTTCACCGGGTCAGGGTGTGATACTAAAGGGGAGTTTCAGGCTTCGGTCAAGAGTTCAACACGGGCTGGTGCCTCGAGACAAGGCTGTGGACGAACCACCTTAAGTTCTGGTACTCACTTGGGCTTAGGATTTAGGGTCAAACTGGAACTCAGCTGCATATCCCCTGGTTTCTGATGTGGAGGTCTGGTGATGATTGTTTACCCGACCCCGCGCTCACCCAAATGTCACACTGAGCCCGGTTTCCACTCAAGGGTCTGCGGGCTTTAACACCCTAAACCCCAACCCTAAACCCAAATCCCTCAACCCTAAACCCTAATGTTTAGGGTTGTGAGTTTGGGGTTTTGGCTAAGAGCTGCAGTTCACCATGGCTACAGACTCGATTTGGGCTTCAGGTCCCAAGCCCCCAGCCCTGGCCACCATCTTCAAACCCTGAGATCCCTCAGAGGAGCTGCAGAAACGACAAACTGAAGCCGCAATGCCCCCAACCGAATCCTAAGCCCTAAACCCTAAACCCTAAACCCTAAACCCTAAACCCTAAACCCTAAACCCTAAACCCAAAGCCCAAAGCCCTAAACCCAAAGCCCAAAGCCCAAAAGGCCCAGGATCCCAAAGCCCAAAAGGCTGAGGATCCCAAAGCCCAAAAGGCCCAGGATCCCGAAGCCCAAAAGGCCCTTAGGGTTTAGGGTTTAGGGTTTAGGGTTTAGGGTTTAGGGTTTAGGGTTTAGGGTTTAGGGTTTAGGGTTTAGGGTTTAGGGTTCTTGGCCTTCGTCTGTGGTCTTTGCAGGGACGGAACTCGAGCAGGTGGCTTTGGGGGAGGTCGGAGTGGCTGCCGGGCGTTTGGCTTTGGAGCTAGAGTAGACCCTAAGCTCCCTGAGCCCACTCTAAACCCTAAACCCCTAAACCCTAAACCCTAAACTCCTAAACCCTAAACCCCTCAACCCTAAACTCCAAAACCTAAACCCCTAAACCCCTCAACCCCCCTAAAGCCCAACAAGGGCTTGTGATGGACCTTCAGGTTTGCTAAGGGGTGGTATCGGGTTGAGGAGTGTCGTTGTCTACTGGGCACTCGAAACCTGAAGGCTCACCTCCTCTTCTATCTGTTTTTGCGAGACAGAAGACAGATAGAGGAGGAGAGACCGGATATTTGTCTTCTTTTTTGTCTGTGGGCCTATGTCTCCTGCGTTCGGAAGAAAAACAGTAGAAGTTTTAGTGGAATTTTATCATCGTTAGTCATAGTTATAGCGATATACCAACATTACTGTAATAGCTACAGTAGCAGTAGTAGTAATGGTCTTGGTAATAACATTTCGAAATTGATTTAGCCAAGGCCGATCTCCCAAATTACAATGGAGGTCTTCCATTCCAATCGAGACCTTTAACCCTGAATCAGCGGAATCCTTTAGGGTTAAGGGTTTAGGGTTTAGGGTTTAGGGTTTAGGGTTTAGGGTTTAGGGTTTAGGGTTTCTTCAAGGCATATTCCGCAAACTGCAATGGGAACCGATTGTTTTGAATCAAAGGATATTGGAGCGCGTGAGATTTGTGGGGGAGGTGGAGGCGGGTGACGGCTTCAGGTTTTGGGTTGGGGGTTTTAGGGTTTACGGGTCAGGGTTCCAGGTCTGCCGTTTCGGCGCGTTGGTGTGGTTCCGAGATCAGCATGCCTGCCCGCAACCTATACCCTTAACCCGTCGACACCTAGCCTAAATCGCAACGTTCCACGCTTGTCCGTCTCGCCGCAGCGCTTCGTTTTATCGCTTTCCCTTGGGCGAGCTGTTCCCTTTCCTTGCTGGACCCGCCGGCCAGATGCCCTTACAGTCGCCACGGCCTGAGGGCCGTGAACAGGGGCTGCGGTCCAGACAGTTGACCCTAAAGCAATAAAGCGTTAAAGCCCGAAAACCCGTACACCCTAAGGCCTAAAACCCCTAAAGGCCCACAATCCGGACTCTTAAATCCTTGGCAATCCTTGGCTCCGGGTTCGGGGTTCAGATTTCGCGGATGAGGTCCTCAGAGCTAAGGGACTCGGGTTTCGGGCGTAGATTGTCCTTGTTGGGTTTAGATTCAGAGTCTTGGGTTTTTGGTATGGATGTTGAGGTTGTTGGGATTCCAGACGTGTGGGGTGTGTAAGTTTGGCCATAACAGTAGGACACCCTCGAGTAGGTATTTCAATCCCCCCAAACAACCGATTCATGAAATCCCCGGTCCTTCAACAACAGCACCTACGAAACCCTTCTCAATACCATGCCAGGCTTTGGAATTAAACTTGAGGCCGTGAACTTAAATTGCAGAGTCCTAAACCTTGCAGGAAGCCTTAGACCTTAAACTTAAACTTCATTGCCTAAACCCTTAACCCTGAACAATAAACCCTAAACCCTAAACACTAGAAGCTTCAACCCTGAGCCTCGAAACAATAGACCCTGAACCTTAAGCCCCAGAACAATAAACCCTTGGGTGGTTGTCAAAACTATGGTCCCTTTTTGGGTCCTTATTATAATACGGCACCTATATATTTAGGGTACCCCAAAAGGGACCATAAACATTGACAACTACCCCCTTCAGCCTAAGCTTCCCGAGGCCTAAATCACCTGGCCTCACGCTGCCGGATGTGGAGATCCGGCAGCCGCAGGACGTCGGGACCACCCCGCCGCCTAGCAGAAACTAGGAAGACCCGGGATTCGATTTTTTGGACAATGATTATATTTGAGTAGAGTTTAATATAGTCTAGTCTAGTCTAGTCTAATCTAGTCTAGCATAGCATAGTATAACATTCTATAGAATATTCTGGTAATCTTAGAAGGGCTTGAGTTGTGGAGGGGCGTTTAGATGTGGCTCTTTGTAGGGGGTAGAAAGGAGGCTTCAGAGGGTTTCAGTCGTGTTAACCATCGTTACGACCATCATCGGGTTGAGGGTTTAGGATTTAGGGTTGAGGGGTTTAGGGTTTAGGGGTTTAGGGGTTAGGATTTAGGATTTAGGATTGAGGGTTTAGNNTTAGTACTGAGTGGACAAGTGTGTTTGTCGGTCAAGTTTTGTCAGACTAGTTGCTAACAGTGTTTATGCTAACAGTGGCGAAGCTAGCGCTGACTCTTGTAAATCTTGGGCTTTCTTAAGTGTTGGTACCTGCAGAAAGGTCTGCAGGACCGAATACGAAACCAACAACTCCCAAACTCTAAATGCTCAACACCAGCAGACCCACAAGCTTAAGCCGCTAAGCCCTAACCCCAAAACCCTCAAAATGTCAACTCGGAGCTCTCCCCGGCCAGCCCTACGACGCAGGATGCTCTCCAGTGCAGACGGGATTCGGCACCCCCCCCCCCCCCCCCC